TCATTACATTGATAGATTTCCATATATTGAACCATCCCCGAATTCCTGTGATAAAGCCTACTTGATCATGATGGATGATTGGTTTGATATGCTCTTGAATTCAGTTTGCAAGAATTTTATTGAGTATTTTTGCATCAATATTCATAAAGGAGATTGGTCTGAAGTTCTCTTTTTTTGTTGGGTCTTTGTGTGGTTTAGGTATTAGAGTAATTGTGACTTCATAGGATGAATTGGTAGTGTTCCTTCTGTTTCTACTTTGTGGAACAGTTTATAGAGAATTTGGTATTAGGTCTTCTTTGAAGGTCTGACTGAACTCTGCACTAAAACAGTCTGGTCCCTGACTTTTTTTAGTGGGGAGACATTCAATGACTGCTGCTATTTCTTTTAGGGTTATGAGACTGTTTAGATGGTTTATCTGGGCCTGAGTTAACTTTGGTAACTGGTATTCATCTAGAAAATTGTCCATTTCATACAGATTTTCCAATTTGGTTGAGTACAGGATTTTGTAGTAGGATCTGATGATTTAAAAAATTTCCTCAGTTTCTGTTATGCCACCCTTTTCTGTTCTCATTTTATTAATTTGTATACTGTCTTTGCCCTCTGATTAGTCAAGCTAAGGGTTTATCTATCATGTTGATTTTCTCAAAGAACCAGCTCCTGGTTTTATTGATTCTTTATATAGTTCTTTCTGTTTCTACTTGGTTGATTTCAGCCCTGAGTTTGATTATTGCCTGCCATCTACTCCTCTTTGGTGTGTTTGTTTCTTTTTGTTCTAGAGCTTTCAGGTATGTTGTCAAGCTGCTAGTGTATGCTCTCTCCAGTTTCTTTATGTAGGCAATTGGAGCTATGAGTTTTCTTCTTAGCACTGCTTTCATTTTTTCCCATAAGTTTTGGTACGATGTGTCTTCATTTTCATTAAATTCTAAAAAGTCTTTAATTTCTTTCTCTATTTCTTCCCTGACCAAGTTATCATTGAATAGATTGTTGTTGAATTTCCATGTGAATGTGGGCTCTCCATTGTTTTTGTCATTATTGAAGACCAGCCTTAGTCCATGGTCATCTGATAGGATGCATAGGATTATTTCAATTTTCTTGTATCTGTTGAAGCCTGTTTTGTGACTAAGTATATGGTCAGTTTTGGAGAAGGTACTATTAGGTGATGAGAAGAAGGTATATTCTTTTGTTTTAGGATGAAATGTTCTATAGATATCTGTTAAATCTATTTGATTCATAACTTCTCTTAGTTTCACTGTGTCTGTATTTAATTTCTGTTTCTATGATCTGCCCATTGCTGAGAGTGGACTGTTGAAGTCTCCCATTATTATTGTCTGAGGTTCAATGTGAGCTTTGAGCTTAAGTAGGTTTCTTATATGAAAGTGTGTGCTCTTGTGTTTGGAGCATAAATGTTCAGAATTGAGAGTTCACGATGGTTGACTTTTCCTTTGAAGAGTATTAAATGTCCTTCCTTATACTTTTTGATAGCTTGAAAGTTAAAAGTCGATTTTATTTGATATTAGAATAGCTACTCCAGCTTTTTTCTTAGGATCATTTTCTTGAAAAATTGTTTTCTAGCCTTTTACTCTAAGGCAGTGTCTGTTTTTGTCACTGAGGTGAGTTTCCTGTAGGCAGCAAAATGCTGGGTCCTATTTACATATCCAGTCCATTAATCTATGTCTTTTTATTGGGGAATTGAGTCCGTTGATGTTAAGAGATATTAAGGAAAAAAGATTGTTGCTTCCTGTTATTTTTGTTATTAGAGGTGGAATTATATTTGTGTCTATCTTCTTTTGAATTTATTGGAAGAGTACTTTCTTGCTCTTTCTAGGGTATAATTTCCCTTCTTGTATTTGAGTTTTCCCTCTATTATCCTTTGTAGTGCTGGGTTTGTGGAAAAATATTGTGTAAATTTGGTTTTGTCATAGAATATTCTGGTTTCTCCACCTATGGTAATTGAAAGTTTTCTTGAGTATAGTATTCTGGGCTGGCTTTTGTGTTCTCTTATGGTCTATGACATCTTTCAAGGATCTTCAGGCTTTTATAGTATCTGATGAGAAGTCTGGTGTAGTTCTGATAGGTTTGCCTTTCTTTATATGTTACTTGACCATTTTCCATTACTGCTTTTAATATTCTTTGTTTTTTTGCTTTTTGTGTTTTGATTATTATGTGATTGGAGGTATTTCTTTTCTAGTCTAGTCTATTTGGAGTTCTGTATACTTCTTGTATATTTATGGGCATCTCTTTCTTTAGGTTAGGGATGCTTTCTTCTATAATTTTGTTGAAGATATTTAATGGCCCTTTTAGTTGGGAATCTTCACTCCCTTCTACACCTATTATCCTTAAAATATTATTTGGTCTTTTCATTGTGTCATGGATTTCCTGGATGTTTTGGGTTAGGAGCTTTTTGTACTATTTATTTTCCTTGACAGTTGTGTCAATGTTTTCTATGGTATCTTCTGCTCCTGAGATTCTCTCTTCTATTTCTTGTATTCTGTTGGTGATGCTTGCACCTATGACTCCTGATCTCTTTCCTAGGTTTTCTGTCCCCAGGGCAGTCTCCCTTTGTGATTTTTTGTTTTTTATTGTTTTAACTTCCATTTTTATGTCATGGGTGTTTTTGTTCAGTTCCTACACCTGTTTAGTTGTGCTTTCTTGTAATTCTTTAAGGGATTTTTGTGTGTCCTCTTTAAGAACCTCTAACTGTTTACCTGTGTTCTCCTCTATTTCTTTGAGAGTATTATTTATATTCTTTTTAAGGTCCTCTATCATCATCATGAGAAGTGATTTTAAATCTGAAACTTGCTTTTTTGGTGTGATGGGGTATTTGAAACAGTGGGAGAACTAGGTTCTGATGATGCCAAGTAATCTTGATTGCTAATGCTTATGTTCTTGCACTTGCCTTTCACCATCTGATTATCTTTAGTGCTACCTGTACTCACTACCTCTGACTGGAGCCTGTCTTTGCTGTTATCTTGGTTATGTCAGAAGTCCTCAGAGTCCATATATCTCTGTGACTCTGTGATCCTGAGATTCTGGGTGTAAGAGCTCCTGGGAGTCAGGCTTTCCCTGGAATTCTGAAATTCTGGTGTGGTCAATCTCCTGAGATCTGGTGATCCTATGAGCCTATGAACCTGAGGTAGTTAGAGCTTTTGGGAGTCTAGCCCCCTATGAGTTTTGTGCTATTGAATGCAGAGCTGATGCTCAAGATCTGCTCAGTGCTCAGGCACAGACCAGAAGGAACTGGTGCCCCTGGCCAGGAGTGAGTTCCTGGATCCCTGTGAGTCCCAGTTACTCCCTGTTTGGGAAGGTGTTGCTGCCTCCTTACCTAAAATCCTTGGTGATTAGAGTTCCTAGGAGTCCAGCCTGCTCTTGGTTTTGTGTGATTGGGTACAGAGCTGAAGCTCAACATCTGCTCAGTGCTCAGGTACAGACCAGTAGGAACCAATTTTACTCTCTTTCCTGTATTTCTTTAAGGAATTTATTTATTTACTCTTTAAAGGCTTCTATAATCCTCATAATATTTAATTCAAGGTCATTTTCTGACTGTTAAACTGTATTAGGATATCCAGAGCTTGCTGTAGTAGAATATCTGAGTTTAGTGGTGCCTTATTATCCTTGCTTTTATTAAAGTGTATTCTTACTCTCACCTTTAGCCATCTGGTTATCCCTGGTGTTGCCTGGCCTGATAATCTCTGCTGGCCTTTGTGACTGCTTTTATAGCTGGTATTTCCAGGCTGAACCAGATGGCTGCAGGCCTCCATGGAAAATAAATTATAGTGGACCATAACATGAAGAAAAGAATGGACCACTTTGTGGATTTTCTAAGTGTTGTTTTCTTGCTAAAACTCTCACCTTGACCTTTTTTGTTGTATTAGATATGAGTATGCATAATTAAAGGGAGTATATTGTGTTAAGTGTGTTGGGGATTTTTTTGAACCCAGAAATAGTGCAATAGAGCCAAGAATATTAAAATTATTACATATATGACCTACTATCAAAATTCTTCCTCAAACCCAGGGAGGGATGGAGCTTCAAGATATGATATTAGCTAGCATGTATAAGGGTTTGCAATTCTTCACCAACACTGCAATTCTTTCTTAATTTTTAAACACATTCTGTATAATAATCACATCATCTCTCAAACTGTTTCTTTGCCTCAAACTCCAGAACACATGACAATTTATTTGTATCCATTTTTGTGTATAAATGCTGTACAATAAATGATATATGAACCTCATTTTGTGATTCTAGTAGCTGAATAGAAGTGATGACAGAATAAGCAAGCTTCCATTGTGTTTTTCCAAAAAGTAATAAGAAATATTTCAACCCTCAGTTTCTGTCTTAGTTCTTAGTTTTTATTGACAATTTTCATAAAGTTATGGGAATTCTATGCTATTTTTTAATAATTTGAGAATTTTAAATTAGAAAAAAAGTTGAGTCTTTCCTGAAAATTTTCATAATACTCCATCTCTTATAGTTTGAGTAATTTGATTTTATTCTGTCTTGTGCCTTATTGAATAGCATGCATATTGCTATATAACAGAATTCATTTAATGATTTTGCATTCAGATGGTAAATGTTTCACTGATAAGATAACTTATGACACTTTTAAGTCATGTTTCTGTATGAGATTTCTTTCAAAAATGTTCTGATTTTAAAACAGGGAAGTAGAAACTTCCAGACACAATTTTCCACTTTTAACTAATTCTCTAAGTTTTGGAAACTCATGTGAAAAGTTGGTATGAATTGTCTGTTAAATACTTTAAAAAACTCTACCATGAATCTTTCTGGAGCTGAATTCTTCTTAGTGAGTATGTGTTTTTATTTAAAATTCAATTACTTTTAGGTATGATAGACAATATGTTATAATTATATTCATTTACTCCACAATATTTCCTAATATTTTATGTCACCTAAATTGTTGAATTTTGCCATTATTAAATAAAATACCTGTCAAAAATTTAAATTTGTATTTTCATCATATCTTTTTCTTTTCTTTATAGCACTGTTTCCATTTCTTAACCAAATATATAATAAACTAAACATCTCCATATTTCCAAGTGATGCTATAACATTTTTTAAAAAATTTGTAGAGAAGACAAAAAAAATTCGGCACGAAAATAGCCAAGAGGTAACATATGACAAAATTTATTTCATTTCAAAGCAATGATGTCAAAATCACATATCCCCCAGAGAAGACCTTATTGAGATATTTGATACATTTGGTCTGTTTAGTTTGAGTTGTGGCTTGCCTAGAAGTTGAGCAGTTATGTTTGACCATAGAGATTGTCAATTGTATAACCAAGTTTTGCCTAAAGTAGACCATGTGCTTGACAAGGAATTTTGAGAGAGATTAAATAGTAGCAGAAGGATGTCAGGGAGTAAGTATTGTGCCTGAGATGTCACCAGTTGTTTTCTAGGCTTCTGAGGTTTGGGGCAATTAAAGGTAATCTTTTAAAACTCAGCAATTAGAGCCAAAACCAGCAGTCAATAAGTATGGCATGTGGGTTAAGAACATGTCAATGAAGCAACCTATTGACATATTCTGTGTGCAGAATTTCTTTCTAAACAAGTGCCTGTAACAGGAGAAAAGTCTATAATCATCTGTCATGTGGCTGGTGCTCATCAACTACAGATGCTCAAAATCAGAGAAAGCAATAAGAAAACATAGGTATTGTGCATGGCAGCATGATACTAGACCATCGTACAATTCTTGTTCTCCAAAATCTAATGATGAGTGTTTTGTTTTACTAGTTATTCAGGCAACAGCAGTTATATTCTAGCCTTAAATAAGTCATAGCCTCATAAGTGTGTTTTAAGTTCATTAAATTTCCATTTTCAAGCTCCCAAAACATGTATCTGAATTTGATATTTCTGTCTGCTTTCAGAACCCAGTAGACTTTCTTCAGCTGATGTTGAACTCCCAAAATTCTGAAAACGTGGATGATTCCCATAAAGGTAACTAAGGAGACACTAGGATTTAAAAGATAAGTACAGAAGAAAGGGATGGTTCTGAACATATAAAGGGGTATTCAAGTAGAAAAGGCAGCCTGTTAAATTTCAGAAAAACACAGACACATGTGTTTTATGAAGCAGCCTAAGGAACTTTCTATAAACACACAGTATTAGAATGTTCACATTCTGATGATTGCTGTGCCTTCTATCTATGACAGGTTATTTACCTACATGAGATCTCAAAAACTTAGGTAACTAACAAAGACCTGATTAGTTTCCAAAACAGTTGATGTCCCTACTGGAGGGGGGAATCTCATTAGGACTCATCCCTAGATAACAAGCTACAGGGAAAATTAGTCTTCCCCAAGAATGGGCACCCTGAATTGCTATCCAAAATCTCTATATCAAACCTAGAAACAAATATACACAGATAACACTGAGAGAATTCATTTGATTAATATGTTCATGATTATTCATTTGTGTGTATTTTACAATGATGCTCAAGAAAGTGAAGGCCATGGATTTGGAAGTAAGTGGGATGTAACATGGGAAGAGTAAGAGGGAAGGTGAGGGATGGAAGAAAGATAAACTTAAATAGTATTAAATTTATAGTAATATTAAAGCCACTTGTAAGCATAACTTTCTTAGCCTACAACTCTAATGATGTATGCCAAAAGCTGTTTGTCAGCCTCAGACAGAGCCATTGAATTAGAAACTTCTGGAAATCTACTTCTATGGCATCCAATCAGGAGGTACAGTGTGCAAATAAAAACATTCACAGCGATTCAAATGGCATAAGTTTTTGGCAGTTTTAGAAACCTGGAAATTTTATTTTTTCTTTCATGATGATCTAGCATATTAAAGAAGAAGAAAAAACACCATGAGTGTATAATTTCCTGTTTATTCTTTTATGCACTGTCACTGGCTTTAATATTTCAATGCTATGTGTTCTTTGGTTTTAATTTTACATTTGGTTTTGTTTTTATTTTTTCATACATTAGTACCACAATGGTTGTAAAATCATAATTGTCATAATTTGCAATTATTCTATATTTAAAGTTAGTGCCCAGTTTACAAATAGTATTTCTTTTTGACTTGTTTGCTTCTGCCATATCTACTATTTTCCTCACGGACTATACATATTTGCAAATTCATCTTTTAAATCATTATTTGTATCACATGTGTTCTCTGAGTTTGGTGAATTTGCCCTTTCCATGGACTTCTAGAATGTTCTTTATAAAACATTAGATGCAGAAGTTGTTGAGTACTAGAAAAATTTTCAGTTCACAGCACCACTGAGAAGAAAGTAGAGAGATATACTTCATATTCTTGATCCTAGAAACAAATACTCACCACACAATTACCATCCCTATTGAAGTAATGGATACATTATAACTGATGAGAATATATTAAGATACTTTTAATATATAACTTCCTAGTTTATGTAAGTTTTAATTCATACCATAAATCCTTTATATTTTGATAAATATATGATGTGGACATGCAATTCATTTATGATTTCATCCAGAAATTTGTCTTTTCAAACCTTATGTCATTTAAAAAACTTTGAGAATTTCATACAAGCATATAAAGAACTGTGATTCAATCTATCCCAAATTTCCTCCTGAATCCCCATAACTTTTTCTTCCAAGTTTATATCCTGTCTTTTTTTCAAAGCCTACTGAGTCCATATGGAGCTACTTGAACATGATGAATATAGTAACATTTATGGTAGTGTAAATGCAGTCCTGATTAAAATCTGTGAGCATAATTCCAGAAGAAAACTGGCTCTTCATTTCTTAGTATCTATCTATTTCCATCAGCTGTTCATTTATGTGTGGTGTACCAAAAGCCCTCCCCAACCATCCTGGAATTTTGTCTGGCTTGATCTTGCAGAAATCTCCTAGACTCAGCCCAACTCATGTTTACTAGGACCCTATCATCTCCAAAAAGTGCTGCAGACATCTACCACTTCTGACTTTTACAATCTTTCTCTTTATTCCTGGATAAGCTCTGGGCCATTGAGCTATTGCTGGAGGGAGTGGGTGTGATGCAAATGCCCCATTGAGTTGCCTCTAAGCATCATGTGACTTCCAATTCTAAGAATGCTCATCAGTTCAGGGTCTCTGTGTTGTCATCTATAAAAAAGAAACTTCTCTGATGAAGAATAAAAGATATATTAATATGGGAAACAAGATAAAAACTTAAGGAACTGTCTATTATTGTGTCTATAAAAGTTTTAGGTTCTATCATAGGATCTATGACCCACTGAATGGGTCTATGACCCAGCAATGAACCTTTGACCGAGTTGCAAAGACCAGGATTAAGTTTTTTCCTGACATTATGCCACTATTTCACCAATATACATATCATGAAAGAAGCCAAATTATTATATTGCCTCACAGGGTTTGCCTCATAGGTAACACTATTGATCACTATGTGATCATAGATAGATGTATACAGCTATTCTTTACTCTGAATGCTGACTAGTAGAGATAAAACTTCCAGATTCCAGAAAAGCTTGATTTCTTTATGTCTGTGATATTAATATGTAGTGCCTTCAGCAATAGAGTCTTATTATCAATTTTGAAGTGTTACCAAGGACAATGTTCACAGATTGTAATGTTTTGTGTCTGAAAATCAGAAACTAAAGAAGGAGGTGACCAATTATTGGCCATAGTCTTTCTTTGTGAATGAATGTCCAGGAGACCATTTGTCCCTCTGTAAAAAGGTAAGTCAGGTTAAACTGCTTTCATTGATGTATATAAATCAATTATAGTAGCAGATCTCCATGTGGTATTTTCTATGATTTTGGTCTTGTTACCCCTGCTCTATGATGCTCTTAAACTTTCCTGTATTATTGCTTTACTTTTATCCATCATACCCTCTATGCATTTGTCCTCTTTCCCATAAACAACTTAATGACCAGTTATGAGATTTCTGGCTATTTAAGTACATATACCGAAAGACAAAGGTAATATCCATATATGAGAAAAAACATCATGCATAATTTGCCTTTCTGGGTTTATGTTATAAAAGGCAGAATAGGTATTTCCAGCTACATCTATATCTCTGTAAATTTTACAATCTCAGTTTTCATAAGACATACATTATATTGCACTATATATAGCACTGCATTTTCATTTTAGTTTACCAGTTGATGGATATCTATGCTTTTGTGAATAGAACACTTGTGAGCATAGATAGAAACAAATATACCTTCAGTACAATTAAGAGTAATCTGAGCATATGCCCAGTATTGATATGTAGTAGAAAATATTTAATGTCACATTAGGTTTCGACCCTGCCTATTGTTTTTCATTTCACAGATAAAAAAAAAAAAATCACCCAACCTTCATTTTTATAATGAGCCTTGACACTAGTGCTCGACAGAAACATTGAAGTGGAAAATTCTGGTTTCTTTGGAATGTTGTTTTATCTGATGGTGTTTTTTCTGGAGAAAACCTGTGAAGAAGTATTTTCCTGAAGTTGACACAGTGAAATGATGTTTTGCTAAAGCAAGCTTGTGAAAGGCTGTGTGAGGAAGTATTCTTTCCTAATGACACACATGTATTGGTTCACCTTACATTCATTGTTGAGCTCCATTTGTCATGACGTCATAGAGAGAAACATACCAAAAACTTCTGGTTGTAGGCTGGCGGCTTCTTGCCACTTCTCTGGACAGAGTGGGCAGGGTGATATCAGCTGATACAGACTCACATGGAGTTTTACTAAGACAGACTCACATGCTGAGGCAAAACATGTGATGAGGTAAGATCCATGGGACACACATGATGTTTAGAGGGAGTGTGAATAGGACTCAACTGTTAGAGTGGCTTGCATGTAGAGATAGCTATGTAACAACACTTCTTGGTCTCAAGTCTTTAATGATCTCTTCATTGAGGGAATTAAACCCAAGAATTTCTCCTGGCATCCCTGGTGGTTCTAATCCATTCTGTTGACTTGTGTGCAATCACCTGAGGCCTGACTATCTCTGCTAGGTCATGACACCACTGCTGATTCATCTTTACTATCCTAAGTGGACTGCTGGTATATTCATGAAGTATTCGGAAGTAGACTGAGCTGTCACTGCTGAATCCTGTGAACTGAACCCCTGATTGCCTAACAACACAGATAGGATTTGCTACAAAGAACAATTTCTAAACAGATCTACTACCCCTGTATACTAATAACCTTTCTTATCAACTACCTCTAGAAACAGGTTAAAGCATTGAAGAACTGTTATTAAAAGTAGGGTTGAGAAAAAATTAAGCTTACAAATATCTACCCTCTATGCTATTATGACTACTTCCTTATTAATAAACCCAAGTTATCATTTGCCATGTTTCATCTGTACATCTCTTAACTCCAATTGTCCAGCCCTCATGGCTATGTTTTCACAGTTCACCTACCTTAGGGTAGCTTGCTCCTCTCACTACCTTCTCTCTCCTTGTGATTCTTCTCAGACCTCAAGTCTGGGAACCACCAACCCACTTATGACCTTATTCCCAGCTATTGGCTGTCAGCATCTTTATTTAACCAACAGTTTTAAATTAAGAATCAAAGTGACATTGTATGTACAGATTCTCTTATCCCTGGAGCAACCAGGCCTTGGGGACCAGTAGTTAGCATTGTAATGCATAGCAAAAGACTACACCTCAACCATTCTTCTTTTCATCTAAATAAGAAGGCTTTTTTCTTTTTAATAATAAATAACATATAGAGTAACAGTTAATAAACAAATTATAAAATTATTAATTAAGGGTTGCATTCATATAGTCTAGTCTGTTGATATCTGGCAACTCAGAAAAATGTATTCTATTATCTATCCTGGTGAGCTTAGAGTTTTGCAAAAAATCAATCTCCATTGTAATTTGTAAATTAGCTTAAAAATATCTTCTCATACCTAAGCACCTTCCTAAATGCTAAACAACTTAACTTTAATTGTGAGACTTACCTAGTTTTTAACCCCATCAAAGACCTGAGGAAAAAAATATTCCTTG